AGGTGTGTGTGTGAGACAGAGGGTGAGTGTGATCACCCAACTAGATCATGAGCTTCTAAAAAACAGCACCTCCTATACTACCTTTTGCAGTGTTAATACATGGTGGTCATTAATAATTTCTCAAGCTGTAGAAGATTATATCATTTGCATCTCTGTGCTGTTGGCATACAGCTAAGTGGGAGGTAGTTTTTAAAGCATAATTTTATAATGGGTCAGTATTGAGAGCTGAGAGGGAGAGGATTTCCGAATCTTTCATCTTGCTATTTTAAGAGGTTCATGTCAAATAGTGATTGCTAGAATTTTTGGTCTCTGCCTGCTAGTGTTTTCTAACAGCTTACTGGGAAGTCCAAACAGATGGACAAATCTGTAATGACTTAGTAGTTACTTTGGTTTACTGTCAGATATCTAGAGAACTCTTGCTTTGCTTTTATTACTGTGTTTAAGATTTCTCAGCCAAAAGGCCCTGGGTCATGAGGAAATGCAAGGGTAGGGGTGGGAAGGTGACAAAGAGGTACTTCAGATTTGCAATTTCTTTTAAGAGATTTCCATTTTCAGTATAGCTGACACTTGTAATATCTGTTAAAGATTGGTACCTGGCCAAAATGCCTGTGAAATAGCTGTGATTTAGGCTTCAAGTATGAAGATTTTAACAAAAGTGTTGGCAATATAATATATGAATAAAGACCGCACTTGTTAAAAAGCATATATATGTATGTGTATATGTGTATGTGTATGTATGTGGGTATAAGTATATATATATCTCTCTCTCTCTGCATTTATCTTTGTTCATATGAAGATATTTTATTTCAGGAAGTGACTTAACTGGAAGTCAGACTATCAGCTTATTTCTAGGAAAAAAAAGCATCCCTTGGCCTTTGGTGCACCACAGTGACCTGAGATGTGCAATTCACTGGCCAAAATTGCAAAACAGTTGGTATGCTTTTTCAGGACTGTGTACTGATGCCACTATTGGGGAGATTAAAGATTAAAGGGGTATGCAATAGAGTGGGGTGGGTGGGAGTCCTTAGGCACACAGAGGACAGGGAAGGCTTTCATTACATCCCTGGACTATGTTGTATTCTACAGAAGTGAGAGCTTGGCATTTGTATTTAAGGTTTTTTTTTTTTTTTTTTTTAAGATTTTATTTATTTATAGAGATGCAGAGAGAGGGGGGTGGCAGAAACACAGGCAGAGGGAGAAGCAGGCTCCACGCAGAGAGCCTGACGTGGGACTCGATCCAGAGTCTCCAGGATCACACCCTTGGCTGCAGGCGGCGCTAAACCGCTGCGCCACCAGGGCTGCCCTTAAGTTTTATTTGTAAGCATATAGTATATAAAAGAGTGAGATGGGAAAAATATAAAAATTGTACTCAGGAAAAAAAAAATAGTTCTAAGACAGGAAAATTCTTTTAAGAAAACCCTGCATTGTAAAGTATGGGGATTGGAATACATGTTCCGGGGAAAATGGAGGAAACTAGGGAAAGATTTAGTGAAAGTGTAGGTATAAAGACTGTTATTTGTGACCTGGACTTGTTTTGGCTCTCAGAGGTCAAACTGACTCTTAGAGTAGAAACACAGTCTCTTTCAAAAGCGCAAGCATTGAAAATAATAATTTTTAAATGTGCTTTCTTGGCTTCTCCCTTTTGTTTTTTGTTTTCTTCAGGTGTAAAACCAGAGTATCCTAGGTTCAGGAGGATGAGGAAAAAACCGATTTCCTTTTCTAGCAGTTTGGCTATTTTTGTTGTTGTTTCTGGTGCCATAAATGGAGAGGCATCTGTACCATGGCATTGTATCATGCCTAACAAAATATTTTTTCCATTTGAATGTAATTGTTCCTTAGCAAATAATTGCAGTCCAGAATGACTTTTATTGAGCTTGATTGAATTAAGGTTATGTATGAAAATGAGTTAGTTAAAGCTTAATCTATTACCCAGAGAATTGATGAAAACATCAGAAAAGTAGTCATTCATGGGGATAAAATATTCTTCCATATAAGTGGGCAACATGGTTGCCTTGGAGTCCCTTCTGCACCGACGGGGTAGTAATGACACCAGGGTGCAAAACACAGTGTTGGCATAGAAGGGGTTTTACCGTGATGTGCCTTTGAATGTTATACTGTACATTAACACTAATTGGGAGTCTGTCTCATTCTAAGAAGTGGCACCTCACCTTTTTTTAGTATAATAAGCTTTTCAAAACATAGCACCCCAAGGGGCAATGTGTAAGCTGTGCCAGAAAGCCAGTTGCTTTGGGATCGTTCAGTGGTTGCTGAGGCCCGATCGTTAAGATAGGTTTTTGACATGCCAAGTCAGATGTCCAATTTGTGGTTAAGAGGTAAATAATAGATATTAATAGATAGTTCTCCCACCTGCCATGCAGTTTCTCAGAGGGAATCCTAATCTGTGGCTGAACAGTCCGGCGAGGTATGCATCCTCTGGGACGGCAGGGTCACGGCTGGGAAACAGGCCTTGAAAAGGGGAAGGGCACAGAGTCTTAATGAGGCAGTGTGAACCAAGGATGAGAGTGAGGGTTGAGAGGAAGCCAAGGTGGGACTCAGAGAACAGGGGCCCCCTGACCATGACCTGAGGCGAAGGTCTGTCCTGGCTCTGGTGGAAGTGCACGCTCAACTCTCCATTCTGCAGGGCTGTCTTCATGCCTTGGCATCTCCCCCAGCTCGCCCCCCCCCCCATCCAGACCCATCACACAGCCACCCCTTTCCATCGAATCAGAACCTTGTAAAGGATTTGTAACTTAAATGCAGAGCAGCTTATGCTCAAACTGCTTTTCTGAAACTACTCGTGGGAATTTTAAGAGCCAGATAAAATCTGGAGTCTCTGAGGTTGGCTATCAGAGAACTCAAAGGGAGTCTGTCTCAGCCAGGATCTTCAGCCTTGAAATTGACCTCTACTCCATGGCTGATTCCCTGGCTTCTGCTAGTCTGTTAAGTTCAACAAGATTTCTTTGTTACCCTGAGTTTTAAAACCCCTCTTGGTCACAGCATACCAGCATTGTCAGCCTCCTTACCTCTTCGTCCTGACCTATCCAGAGATGGTTGTATCACAGTTGATAAATTACAGAATAGTAGTCAAAATAAGGTATAGTCATGGTTTATATAGATAGATTAGTTGCGAATTTATTTCTGAGCTCCTAAAAGAAGTTCTGTATACAGGAAATGTTAGCATATTTTATTTCTCAGATAGCATATGCTCACTTTTTTTTTTTAAGATTTTTAAAATTTATTTATTCATGAGAGACAGAGAGAGAGAGAGAAGCAGAGACACAGGAAGAGGGAGAAGCAGGCTCCATGCAAGGAGTCCGATATGGGATTCGATCCTGGGACTCTAGGATCATGCCCTGGGCTGAAGGCAGGCGCTAAACCGCTGAGCCACCCAGGGATCCCATGTGCTCACTTCTTAAACTAAAAACAAAAAGTAAACAAATCTTCAAACCAGAGTAAGAATTAAATGCACACTATCAAGTAAGGATGGACCCTCCTTCCCCAGTTTTGGCAGTATAAAGTTTTCTTTTCATTTATGCCAATTTGTTTACCTGACAGTTTTTTATAGTTATTCATGATTTACTCATTTATTTTACAGTGTTTCTTTCTCTCTCTCTCTCTTTTTTTTTTACACTGTTTATTTTAATGGTTCTTTTCTGTACTGGCTTTTATGGATTAAATGAAGAAAATTATGTAATTAGATATATGAGAGTGTATTTTTTAAAACCGTATTTTTAATAATGTTAGTTGCCTGTTTTATGATCATTAGGAATAGACTTCTACACCACTCCTTGAATTTTGGAATTGTATGTTTCCTTAGTAAACACATTTAATTAGAAGGTATTCACATGTGTCCTTTGTAGTTTGCTTCAAAGATCTGGATTTATTTTTTCATCCATACTCGTTTTAAAAAATAGGGATGAATGAGTAGTATCTTGTATGAAACCACATGAGACCATTTAATATTTTATTCATTGCTTCTAGCTATTGTTATCTGCAGTAGCACTGGGTGACAACTGAATCATCTAAGTCTAGAAAGGATTTCTCAGATGAATCATTACTCATTTTTTATATTTAATGTAAGTTCTTCCGTGTCATGGTGGCTGATTAGGGAAAAAAAACTTCAGTTATGCCAGAAGATGACTAATAATATTGATAGAGCTGTAAGCCAGTAGGTGATATCCGGTTTCACATCCAGTAGGGTGTGTTAGAGCCTGCTGATTGTAAAGAAATATCATAATCTGAAGTGGGGTAGGAAATTGTCTCTCTTGGTTGAGTGTGAATTTAGTATGATCATTGAAGCATTCGAGAAACTAATGTATCTCACATAGAAACTGAAATAACTTATTCTTAAAAGTGACACAGTTCAGGCATATGTCCATATTTGCAGTATAATTAATGTAAAATGTTCCATTTAATTTTTGTGGACAACCTTTTGCTGATTTTGATCCTCTTTCCTATATTCATCAGTTTCAGCTAGAAAGTAATTTTTTTGGTAACATTTTTTTTCTGTGGATATCTCCCCCTACTCACCTTTAAAAAAAAAAAGTATTCACTCATGATCCTTAAAACACTTACAAGATAAATTACATGATATTAATAACTGAAGCACAGTTATCTGGTTGGGTTGGGCCAGTCATTTAAAATGACTTGAATCTAGTTAGGATGTCAGTTTAACATCCTATTTTTTCAGAGAATTTGCCTGTAATTTTAGCTAAAAACCTGAGAAATGATTGCCTGTAACTCTTTGTAACTCTAAATTCAGAATTCCCATTGAATGATGTTAATGACTGTCTTTTTGTTAATTAAAGTTGACAATAAACACTTAGGGCCACTTTCTCTAAATAGTTTTAGCATAGAGATTTTTAATAATTTGCCTAGTTTTGATTATTTGGCTATTATTCATTTTGGGGGCATATAATTTTGCCAAAGGACAGTGTCAGCTTTGTTTGAAAGCCCTTCTTGGCTCACTATTTAACCACTTTGCTCTGGGTCTTTCACAGAATCCTGCTGCATCACAGAAGCTGGAAATTCTGATGTTCCATTAAAATCACAATGGAAAGTCTTGACTTGACCGGTAAGAGCAGTACTGCAGGTGCATCTTACTTAACCTAGAAGCAGTGAAGCAGTCAAGAACTATGTGCTGTCAGAGTTGGTTTCAACTCTTTCCCATCTGATGCATTCACTTTCCATATTGATCAGGGAAGTGTGATAATTTTGTGTGGTGGTTTCTTTTGTTTGTGAATTTTTTACTATTTTTTTAAGTGATGTTTTAATCTCCATCATCAAGTAAGTAAAATTTTCCGTTAAAATCTTGAATTTTTAAAATTAACTATTTCAAAATCTGATTTGTTTCTCCACAGTAATCTGCTGCTGTTGGTGAGAAGTCAATTTATTCAAGTCTTGAATACGTAGAGGTTACATACCTAAATAAATATTAAATCGATCTCTTCCTCATAAGCTGTTTTTGTTTGTACTGCCTTTGGCTTTGATTGAAAAGTGAGCCAGTATCAAAGCATTATGAGCTGTTTGTTTTAATCTGTTAAAAATAATAGAGGAAGGTATAGCAGTGTTATGAAACTGTTTTGAATATGAACCACCCAGTGAAGAAAAAGTTGAGGTTGTAAAATATATATGTGACAAATTATATCAGACTCTGAAACTCAGATTACTATAACTCTGTCCCCTTGTACATAAGTTATTTTCAAAGCTGTTTCTGGGAGAAAGGTTTTTAATGGTTTTAAGATATGGCAATAGTATTTTAAGATTAATTTTAATGATTACTTAAATGCTGAGTTATCTCAATCTGGTAATAAAATGTATGATTGCTTTATTGATGTCTGAACACTTGATGGTGAACTGGTGATTTAAAGACAGGAATTTGAAGTAAATTAAAATGAACAAAGATAGGGATCCCTGGGTGGCGCAGCGGTTTGGCGCCTGCCTTTGGCCCAGGGCGCGATCCTGGAGACCCAGGATCGAATCCCACGTTGGGCTCCCGGTGCATGGAGCCTGCTTCTCCCTCTGCCTATGTCTCTGCCTCTCTCTCTCTCTCTCTCTGTGACTATCATAAATAATAAAAAAAAGAACAAAGATAATAAATATTGTTTAGTTGCAGTTTTCAGAACATGAACTTATTCTTTAATTTTTTGAGTAATTGAAAGTTTATCTTAAATCTTTCCTGTCTTTAAGTATTTTGATTTGTTAGCTTTTCAAATCTGTCTAAAATGTCTATGGCTACCTTCGTGTTTTAGTAAGTATATATATGACTGAATACTGCTTTATCATATGAGTATAAATAAAAGGCCTCTGAGCCATTCTTCTGAATGTCATTATCTAAGATTAAATAGATAGTAAAATATGTACAATTTAGCTTGAATGTGTATTTCCTAGGATATTTAAACACCAACAAAATTTTAATACCAGTGAGAAGACTGAGATTTAGTTAATCATTTATCCTCCTTTCTGTGCTATCCTTTAAGGCACAATTAAGTTTCAAATACAAATTCTGTATTGAGTGCCAGTTATCATACAGTTGATTTTGGTTTTAATGGGTCAGCAGAATAGACTACAGAATAGTTGAATATTGATACTGGAATTTTAAATATGTTCTCAATTGTTAATCCAAAAGGGAGTTGAATGTAGTGAGGTTTAAAGAAAATTAAATTTGTAGTAGTATTCTAAATTTGCTGAATATGAATACATCTATAGAAAGTAAAACTGGACACTTTATCTGATCTGTTCAGAAAACTGAATTGTTAATCAGCATTAGTATGACAGTCTTTACCTAAGTGGCCATGTGATCAATGATTTCTGAATGTCAGATTATTTCAATAAAATATTTTTTATTGACTGTAAAAATTGATACAAATTCAAAATGCTGATAAAATTTAAGAAGCTTAAGATGACACTGTATACTTCTAGCTTACATTTATGATCATCTTAAATACAGTATTAAGAAATAGAATAGAATAGAAAAGATGTCATGTGAAACCAGGAGTAATTTAGGAAGCAAATCCTGGAAGATGTTACATGGCCAAAGGATTCCAGGGTCCAGTAAATCTAGGAAGCATGATTATATCATTCAGCTTAGGCAAAGTTATGTTTCATTATCCAGAGTCCCCAAATCTTAGTGGTTTATAACAGTAAAACTTTATTTCTCACTCTTGTTCATCTTGATGAATCTACTGCTGCTGTGCTCAATGTTGTCTTCGTTCCTGGACCAAAGCTAAAGGAGCAACCTCTCTGGGATGCATAACTCTTTCAAGGTGGAAGGAAAAAAGGAATGTGGTAGAAATGTGACTCTTAAAATTGTTGGTCGGAAGTAGCACATGTCATTACCTCTCATTTTACTAGCCAAAGCATGTCGCGTGGTCAACTGCTATGTCACAGGATAGGAGTGGCCTTTTAAGGGGATGGGGTAGGGAAAGTCTGATCAGGAGGCACAGTTCATATTTTAACTATAATATCTGCATCCCACCTATGGCTCTTCTAGAGAGACAGAGTGCATGTCGTATATTAAGCTTCCAAGAAGTCCATTCATAATTTCCAGTGAATCTCTTTAACGTGTAAAATTATTTGACCACGAATCCTTTCATTTTTGTTATATAGAACTCATTGAGCTATGATGCCCTATCTGTGACAAGTTTTAAGGACTGAGGAATTTGCCCAGTTCAAGAGTTTCTTCATATTTCAAATATTAGAACTTTTCCCATCATGGAGTATAAAGGGTTCTAGTGTATATAGTAGACTTACATTATTGTGATGTAGATAATTTTTGTTTTTGTTTTTTGTTTTTTTGAGCAGGGACAGAGAGGCAGAGGGAGAATCTTAAGCAGGTTCCCATGCCCAGTGTGATGGGGGGCTTGATCTCATGACCCCTGAGATCATGACCTGAACCCAAGCAAGAGTCAGTTGCTTAATCCAGGGGTAATACAGTAATTTTACCAGGCAGTAGTAGTCGAATGCTTTTACTTAAGATCAGTTTTAAGAACCATCCTAGAAAGAATGCAGACTCTGTAGAAAGGTTAACAGTTGTATTCCAGGAGTTTTCTAAGGTCCTCCAACTGAGATCATAACCATTATACAGGAGCTATGCATTATTGTTTCCATAGTCGTCTAGAAAATGAGTAGGCACACCGAACTCCTTAGCCAATATTGGTTTGAGTAATCACACAGGTATTATAAGATATTACTACCAGACCTTTGTGGATTAAGATGATTTAAAAATGTAGGAGTATGCAAACGATGCTTTGTTTGATAGTTTATAGTTCCTTAAGATGGGGGGGGGAGACTGAATCTGTGGATTCAGAAAAACTTTAGCATAAATCCTAGTTCTGGTGCTTTTTAATTGAAAGAATTTAGGCAGTTATTTAACCTCTCTGAAACTTTGTTTTCTCATCTTAATATGGGATAATGATCTCTACCTCGTGGGACTGTGAGAATTAAATGAAATATGTCAAGTGCCCGACGTAGCACCTGGCACATAGGAAGCACTCAAGAAATGGTACTAAAAAAAGAAAACTGGTCAGAGGTCAGGAATCTTGAACGCACTATAAAATACCTTTTATAGACATGTGACGGTGTATGTATGTGTGAAATATGTTTGTGTATTTATATATAAACCCAGACACACACCTCCAAAGGTATTAATATATTGCCTGAATGCTTAAGAATCTAATGTATTCATCTACAGTTCTACTGAAAATACAGAGTGGCTTCATTCTTAACACAGAAAGAAAGGGTGAATCCTACAGATATATTAGCCACTCTATGATCTAATAATTCACTTCTTGCCACTGAAAATATAGGAGTTTTAAGGACAGTGTAACTGCCAAATGTAGACATGTTCTTCACTCTGAATATTAATGAGATCGGTATCAAACCAAATTTGATAAAGTGAGGTACAAGATGTGAGGATAGTACCACTGAAATTTTCTTTTCCTCTCTTTGGTAAAAGATTTTATTTATTTAAGAGAGCGAGAAAGTGTGTGCACACAGGCAGGGGGTGAGGCAAAGGGAGAAGCAGACTCCCTGCCTAGCAGGAAGCCCAATGTGAGTCTTCATCCCAGGACCCTGGGATCATGACCTGAGTCAAATGCAGACACTTAACCAACTGAACCACTCTGGCCCCCCTGAAATTTTCCTCACATGTAGAGCAAATGCTATTTGGTTTAAAAAGAAACAGCATTTCTATCTCAAGATTTTTATGGTACTATTTTCCAATGAGGGTTAAATTATTTAGACTGCCTCAAAACCCTTCTCTGTTGACATTTTCCCCTCATGTTCTCAGAATCAGGCACAGCATAGTCCATCTCTCTTAAGAGTCAACGCTGTGTGCTATTTCTTAAATGACTGTTTCATTTGTTTAATTTCAAAAAACATGGAAGTAAAATAATTTGGGGGGGAGTAAATTATTCTTATTTATTTATTTATTTACTTACTTATTTATTTTATTTATTTATTTATTTATTTATGGAGTAAATTATTCTTGAAATTGTTTCAAATTCTTCTCCTTATAAACGGGCCAGGGGATCCCTGAATGGCTCAGCAGTTTGGCGTCTGCCTTTGGCCCAGGGCATGATCCTGGAGTCCCGGGATCAAGCCCCACATGGGGCTCCCTGCATGGAGCCTGCTTCTCCCTCTGCCTGTGTCTCTGCCTCTGGCTCTCTTTGTGTCTCTCATGAATAAATAAAAAAAAATAAAATAAAATAAACGAGCCATCTTTGTAACTGTCAGTTACTCATTCAGCTGGATTATCAGTAGAGTAAAACTACCTAAAAAATGTAAGCTCTTCAGTTTTAGAGACTACATAGTCTGCTTGGCCGGCCATAACAAAATGCCACAGACTGGGTGGCTCAAACAATAGGTATTTATTTTTTCACAATTCTGGGGTCTAAAGTCCATGATCAGGGTGCAGGCAAATTCTGTTTCTGGGGAGGTCTCCCTTTCTTGGCTTGTAGATGGCCACCTTCTTTCTATGTAGTCACAGGGCGTTTTCTGTGTATGTGGAAAGAGTGAGCTCCAGTGTCACTTCCCCTTCTTTAAAGGATACCAGTTTTATTGGATAACAGTCCC